TTGGAAAGAGTCCAGCGGAGGAAACAAAATTATGAGTGGTCTGGAGCATGAGACTTATGAGGAGAGGCTGAGGGAACTGGGATTGTTTAGTCTGCAGAAGAGAAGAATGTGGGGGATTTGATAGCAGCCTTCAACTACCTGAAGGGGGGTTCCAAAGAGGATGGATCTAGACTGTTCTCAGTGGTGGCAGATGACAGAACAAGGAGCAATGGTCTCAAGTTGCAATGGGGGAGGTTTAGGTTGGATATTAGGGGAAAAAATTTCACTAGGAGGGTGGTGAAGCCCTGGAACGGGTTACCTAGGGAGGTGGTGGAATCTCCTTCCTTAGAGGTTTTTAAGGTCAGGCTTGACAAAGCCCTGGCTGGGATGATTTAGTTGGGGATTGGTCCTGCTTTGAGCAGGGGTTGGACTAGATACCTCCTGAGGTCCCTTCCAACCCTGATATTCTATGATTCTATGACCCTCCATTTCCTGAGTCCCACGGGAAAGCCCTAACCATTGGTCCATCCTTCCTCTCCAGGCCCTGAATTAGGTGGGACTCAAAGAGACCCTGTGTAGTGCTACTAGGCAGCACAGCCCACGTTGGTCAGTATGAAAGCTAGAGTCAGAGAGACTGACAGGGTCTATCCAGTAGCCTCCTCTGCTCTGCACCCCTCACAGCCAACATCTCTCCATTCTCTGCAAGGAGCGATAGTCCATGTGCAGCAGGGTATGTATTAATTGAGACAAGCTGGATGCCAGAGGCCCTGTTTTTATCATCTCACCTTTGGTGTGAAAATCTTTCTCGAAGGGTACTGAGGTAACGAGCTAATTGTGAGTAGGTGACATGGAATAGCTGCCGGCTGTGAGGCTACACAATGGCCAATTAGCACAAGCTAATGCACCTGCCTTTGTTTCGTGTGTTGGGAGGCTCGGATCAGCGCAGCTGGTGAGGGCTGCAGAGAAATCCGTGCCAGCTCTGCCCAGGCAGCAACGCTTGCATCAAAGGAGCTACCTCAATAAATTAAATGCAATCTAGGTGAGCTCCCCCACCCCTAAATGTCCCCGCCCTGATAACGCATTATTCCCAAATCATCCCAGCACCTCAATGATATTTCTCCCTTTTTAGTCTGGGTGGTTAGTGAAGAGGGACTGGTTCCAGAGTAGCAGCCGTGTTAGTCTGTATCCACAGAAAGAACAGGAGTCCTTGTGGCACCTTAGAGACTAACACATTTATTTGAGCATAAGCTTTCGTGGCTCCCGGATTCTATTCCTGAGCCTGCCCCCTTGTTACCTAAGGTACGTCACTCAAGCTCTGTCTGCCTCGGCTTCCCCATCTGTAAAATGGGGAGTGGTGAGGTTTAATTCACTGATTAGTGACCGCAAAGAGTGCTCTTATCATCCCTTTGCTGTGTGGTAGCAGGGGGGCTGATGACTTTGTTTGCTGTGTTGTGTAGCTCGCTTCCCTATAGCCTTAACTCGGGTACCGTGGTGATGGTGCTCAGACACCCCCAGTTACATGGATATCTGGAATTATATTCCTTCGTCAACCGGAAGAAAACAGCAACAGAGTATAATCCCACAAACAGCCTCCACCCAACTCGAGTTCCAGCTTTGTCTGGTTGTTCACAGGAACCCCACCTGGCTGGAAGTTTCTACAGCAGTGGTTCTCAAAGTAGGGCCGCCGCTTGTTCAGGGAAAGACCCTGGTGGGCCGGGCCGGTTTGTTTACCTGCCGTGTCCTCAGGTTCGGCCGATCGCGGT